CAATTACAGAGGTTTTTTTAAAAAACCAGAATACAATATAGTCTTAGCAATTTTTTTCCTTGGTCATCAGAACAACCATGTAATCTGCAGATTCCCTGGTAGGGTCAGTTTCAAATACTCATAGTCTCATTAAATCCATATGTCATCTAAATGACCTGGGAATCCTTATTATCCACCATTCCCATTACATTTCCCAGATGATCTTTCCTACCCAGAAGCAGCATACCAAAAATATTCATCAGGTCTTGGCTAATAATAGAGAAGAAATATCATCGTCGCATGTCAACCTTTGTTATTTTAATAATTTTTGCCAAGCTAAGTACTATTGGTAATGAATTAAAACTCCTGCATAATTTTATTTTTGAAAACTTTCTAACATTTGGAGATGAACACAATGTGTGTGTGGGAAAAAGGGCACAATGTCTGGGATTTGCTTTTAAATACTGCTACAGAGAAATGAGAAGAAAGGTAGAATGAATGAAGAAAATGTAGGGAAATATTGATCCATGCTGAGTCTGTGATGAGTATGCAAATCTGACTCCATCGCTGGGCTTGTGGGTGTGCGTGGACTCTTGTATGAAGCCTACAGACAACAGTGCTGCCGCAGGGCTCATGCGGCATGGTGTATGAGTTTACTCTATACATGTTTTTGAATATGGGAATTGTAGGCTTCCTATTCTAGAATTTACAAGCTGATTCTCAAACATGGCCCTGTGTACTGCCTTCCTTCCTGTGAGATGACTGTGCGCTTGGATTCTTTTGCAGAGCGGTCTCACCCCACTCCATTTGGCTGCTCAAGAAGACAGAGTGAATGTGGCCGAGGTCCTTGTAAACCAAGGAGCACATGTGGATGCCCAGACAAAGGTACAGCCTCTCTCCTTTTCCTAGGCCAAGAGAATATGTCCATTCAACAAGATAGTGACTTCAGTATGGAAGCCACCACATTGAATAGGAGGAAAAGCACTTTCAATCTTTTTTTTTTTTTGGTATCAGAAATTGAACTCAGAGCACTTAACCACTGAGCCACATCCCCTGCCCCTTTTAACTTTTTATTTTGAGACAGCATCTCACTCAGTTGCTTAGGACTTTGCTAAATTGCTGAGACTGGCTTTGAACTTGTGATCCTCCTGCCTCAGCCTCCTGAGCTGCTGGGATTATAGGCATGTGCCACCCCACCCAGCTCAATCAGATCTTTTATACATAGTATTTCAAATGTACATTTATGCAAGGAATACCAAAGTCTCTGGTTATAGTATCTCGGACCCTTTTGTCTTTAATGGCCTGAGTATTCTATGTTAGCTGCATGTTGGTGTCCCTGTGTTAACACTAGTGAGCCTTGTGACTTCACAGCTATCCTTCCGAGGCAGCTAAATGTGAACAAAGTTTGTATCTTTCTTAGGTTTTGTGACACACAAATAGAAAATCTTGTCATTTAATTTGTTTATCACGATTTATGAAAAATAGTAAATTAAGGCTCATTGTATTACTCACTTGCCCAATTCCTTATGTCTGTGTAGTTATGTGTGTGCTCTCTTGCACGTTTGCATGTTTTCTTTCTGACAAAATAACTCCTTTAAAAAAAAAAATCCTGAGTAATCTCATATAATGTCACAGTTCAAACACAGATAAGAAAATGGATGTTTTGTGTTACCATTAAAGACATGACTTTAAATTAATCTCGCTTCTCTGAACATTTTCTTAAGATGCTTAGTTTTGTTACCTCTTCA